CCGAACACAGGTATCACTCTCAGATTTCACGCTTGCTCAACGGAGAAAGCGGGGATAATTCACTGAGCGCGTCGTGCGAAGCAGTGACATTACCTCACTGTCAGTTTGCCTTCAGTTTTCAATGTAGGCAACCCGACCTCCCACGTGGCCGAATAGTGGTATCACTCCCAAATGTTACGATCGCTCAAAAAAGAGAGCAGGAATAATTCTCCGAACGTCCAACTATCTGAACGTTTGGCGTAGAGCGGTGACTACCTCATATTTTTTAGTTTTTGCGAGATATATTGCAACTTGAGAATCGTTCCGTGGAAAAATTCATGTGATTCGATAGTGTTAGATTGGTCATTTTTAGCTTCGTCTAAAGTTGTAAAACCGACACGACTTAACTTTGTCAAATATTGTCTTAACCGAAAAAACAGGTCTAGAAAAAAATGCGAAATTTTGACGCTAATTGTGAATTTAGGTTTAAAGTTCAAAGTCTCACAATGAGCTCTTAGTAATTAGCTTAGTAATTTTTGAATCATTTCCAAAAACTAAATAATTTTCCTTTGGCCTTAGCAAAAGTTTGCAACAGCTCCGTTCATCGTCTCACCCCAAAATAACATTCCTATATTTCGATGTTGCTAAATTTCTCTTCGCAAATTGCATTTTTACCAGGAAAATTTCCAGCACCTCTGAATGAAAATTTCATTGATTCTTCCTCTGATGTTCTGCAAAATTCAGAAAAATTTTGGACGAAAATTGCACGGGTACATTTTTGTAGTAAAATTAATTGTTCGGGTCAATTTTGCAACCCTGGAATGGAGTTACGCTCCCTCGTCCGGGAAACGACGACGTATTGTCCTTATGATGCAATACTGCCGTGCTGAAGAAGAACGCCTAATGAAAATTCGCGAGTTGCCAAATTTCCTTCGATAAATTGTTTATTTTTTCGGGAAGTTATGAATAATCCTCCTTTAAATTTTCAGAATCTCTAGGTAAAATTGCGAACGAAATCGTCTGCAAAATCGGGAGTAAAATATTCATAAATTTTCCCATGTGATTCGCGTTTTATCAAAGGAAATTCGACAACGCCTGATGGTTTATACGGCGTTTCTCCTTAGCATGGCGGAACATTTCTCTGTACTCAGGTGATGCGCGTTTTATCAAAGGATATTTGGCAACGCCTTTAAAGGTTTATAAGGCGTTTTTCCTTAGCACGGCAGAATATTTCTCTACTCCCACCTAGAGTCCCTTTATACTGAGAGTCAAGACAACACCCCCTCAAAGAGTCACAAACGGGAATAAAGATTACAGAAATTGAGCGTTTTTTGTAATCTTTGATCGGCCCATTCTCCAATTCCTTTCTTCGTTCCTTCTCTCATTCCGTTTGTTCCTTGCCGAACCCGTAATTCCCTGGTCCATTCCAGATTATAATCTTTGCAATCGGTGAAAATGTAATCTTAATTCCCGTTTGTGACACTGTGAAGGCCTAAAATACGGGAACCAATCAGAAATGGATTCACATTGTCTTGACTCTCAGTGTAAAGGGACTGTAGCACGGCAGAATATTTCTCTACTCCCACCTCCCCACTCACTCGAAACCCATGCGATGAGAAACATATCCTTAGTTTTCCGTCTCCAGTGGAGACAGAGACACCCACTTCCAACGATTGCGTAGTATAGCATGGGAGCTTATTTTGAATTTGATCTATCGTTAGTGTCTCTCTGCTTGTTGATGTATTTTTCCGAAGCTTTCAGGAGCAGGAGAGGCACTTCATCCCCTGGGGCCGGGGGCTGCATATTACGCCGTTGATACAAGGACGCGTGCTACAGATGCGAGCCGGAAATGGGGCTCCGGATCTGCAACAGATGAGCGTGGAAAAGGTCAAAACGCGCTCCGATGAGCTGTCAGCAGTCGAGCCCGGATCCGAGAAAATTCAGGGCAAGCTAATGAGTTACTACCGGATGTGCGTTCCTCATCCTGCTTACGTTGCAGCACACACTCAAAGGTCTCAAAATGATAAATACTCGCATGATTCCACCCATCTCCTCGTTTTCATACTCGATGCTACGAAACGTATCAACCCACCTGCCTCATTTTGAGCCCCCTTTCTCTGGAATTCAACGCATTCGTTACGGAGGTAAGATCGCAATGGAAGAGATTTCCGAGAGGGGCTTAAATCAAGAAAAAAATTTCAGAAGAACGTATTGAATATTTTTATTCTTTCCACCCATCGCCTAATTTTGTACTTGACGCTGCGAAACGTCAACCCACCTGCCTCATTTTAAGCCCCTTCCTTTCTGGAATTTAACGTATTCGTTACGGAAGTAAGATCACAAGCTAGGATATTTCTGGAGGGTTGATTGATTCAAAATTTCGAATATCGAAAGCGAAATTGCAGAGATGCGTATCTCGGTTTGGATGCAGCATTGCAGGCTTTTTATTTCTTTCATACTTTATTTTCTACATGGAAAACTACTGAACGTCATTTCCTAAAAAAATTCAGAGGTTTTTTTCCTCAACATGAAAAATATTCTGTGAAAATTTCAAGCTTTGATGTTGGTTCGGCCTCCTTTAAAAATTAAAATAAGAACGAAAATTTTGAAGCACCGCACTCAAGACACGCATTTTTGCAGTCTCACCGTCGATACGTTAATTGTGTTTTTAGTATACCGCTGAATTAAAATGATAGCACAATTTAGTTTCCAACATGGACAATAAAGTCATCTTTTTTTCATTTGTTTCTGAATTGAAAATATACGACAGAAAATGATATCTCGCGCAACGAATGAAGAGAGAATGTAAAGAACATCGAAACGTCTATGAAATTCGCTTTGTAGTACCAAATACGAGAAAAGGTTGTTTTTAGAAGGAATTTAGAGGAATTGTTGCGTTTTTTTTTCTTTTAAAAAGGGGGAGGGGTTAAAAGCTTTAAAAAACTCCCTACGGGTTATGTGGATTGGATGAGGGCATGAAGTTACGGATCTTCAATCCGGAACTTACAGACTCCGAACCTGGAGCTCGGCATCCGGTCACTGAACCTGAAACGCGGATGGTGTGAGTCCGTAACTGCGGCGTTCATACCCGATGCGGTCCACCCCTTCCCCTTCCCACCACCACTAGCGCGGACGGTGAAGACCCCATTGCCACTGTACATCTAAAGTTTACCCTTCCCTTTAGAAAAAGGTCTCGGAAAATACTGCCGCACTGAGGAAGAACACCGTATGAACATTCGAGAATTGCCAGATTTCCTTCGATAAAATGCTAATTTTTGAGATAAGTTATACGTATTTTTCCTTGAAATTTTCAGGAACTTTAGGTGAAATTACGAACAAAATTATCTAAAAAGTTAGAAGAAAAGTATTCACTAGTTTACCAGGAGATTCTTGTTTCATCGAAGGAAATTTGGCAACGCCTGAAGGTACATACGGCGTTTTTCCTCAGTACGGCAGAATACTTGCACGGTATCTATGTTCCAGCGAATCTACTGACGTAAAAAATTGAGTGAATTCTCAGATGTTTGTTGATCATCCGTGTGATATTCCCGTTATATCGTAAAAATTTAATGCGAGGTCTATTTAGTGCGGGGGTCTTCTCAGAAGCGACCGTAAAAAAGTCTCCTGGGGGGGGGGGGGGGGTGAATTCTCCGGACTTCCCCGAAGAGACCTTTTTCCCCCGAATCTCCGAGTTTCGGATGAATGAAGACACCGGACCAATCGAAACGATGAGAAATTCTGTCGTACTAAACAGAAACGTCGCATGAGGATTCAAACGTTGCCAAGTTCCCTTCAATAAAAGTCTATTTTTTTTAGAGAATTATGAATATCATTCCCTCTTTTCAGACACCGTATGCGTGAATCAACTTTTGAGAAAAATTTACTGAAAATGTTCAAGAAAAACATTCAGAAGCTTCCCTAAAAATTCATAGTTATCAAAGAAAATTTGGCAACAATTGAAGGCCTAAACGGCACTTCACTTTAGCATGGCAGTACTATACCTTGCTAAGTGAGAACGGCTTAGCTTGAATGGGGGCCTCAACTAAATACGCGGTTCTTCGGTAGTACTCTGTTGTGCTAAAAAAAGAGCGCTGTATGAGCCTTCAGGAGTTGCCGCATTTCCTCTGATAGGATAGGATTTTTCAAGGATAATTAGACCGCGTTAAGCAGAAAGGAATCAAGCCAAATTTAATTGGACACTTTATTTTTTACATGAAAGGTTGTGCGGATTTGTGTGCAAATTTCAGTGAATTTTCTGCATAGTACGAAGCAAATTCCTTAAAAATTTCAAAGGAATCCGCATAAACGCCCTCTTACAAAAAAAAAAAAAAAAAAAAAAAAAAAAAAAAAAAACAAAGCTGAGTTTATTTTGGCAATGGGTAATATTGCTTTCAATTTTTCTGAGAATTTGCAAATCAACCCTGATTATCTGAAAATTTCAAGGACATAAAATATTCACAACTTCTCTTAAAAATAAACATTTTATCAGGGTGAATTTGGCAACTTCCGAATGTCCATACGGCGTTTTCCCTGAGCACGGTAGTATTCTGCCGTGCTAAGGAAGAACGCCGTATGAGCCTTCAGGCGTTGCCAAATTTCACTCGATAAAACACGAATTTCCCGGTGAACTTACGAATATTTTTATCAAATTTTTTAGCTAATCCTCGCAATTTCGCCTAATGTTCCTGAAAATTTCAAGAAAGAACATTCATAAATTTCCACAGAAATTAGTATTTTATCGAAGGAGATTTGGCAACTCTCGAATGTCCATACGGCGTTCTTCCGTAGCACGGCAGTATCAAAGGCGTACACGACGAGTAGCGTTCCCACGCGTGGTAATAACCACGTAAAAACTCGAGATTTCCAGTAGTGATACGCGGTTTTTGGATCCTGAGCGCTCGGTGGCCGAAACATGTTGCACGCGCTTGGGGTCCGATGCCTTGCGCCCGAGCATCGATCCGGGGCTGCGCGCGCACCGCGGGTGCAATCGACTGCTCGTAGCCGTGTTTATATTTTTGAGTTCCCTTCGGCCCTGCAACCCACAACCTCGTTCCGATCTCGAAACCCTCGCCAAAAATCCGCGACAACGCACCCGAAACTCCGCGTTAAACCCTCGGGATTAAAATCACCTCGATTGAAACCCTCACGCAAAGAGCAAACAAGTCTTGACCCGACTTTTTTAAACTCGCCTCCAAGAAAAAGAAAAAACGAGAGGTCGTTAGGGTTGATTAAGTTTGGTGACCAGTGCAGGGTATCCAGAAATTTACGTCGTATTTCTCACGAAATAATTTCGAGGCGTCAGTTCGCGTCAAGATTTCGCGTCCGAGAGGCGGTCCAGTGTCTTTTCCTATGCATTCGAAGCTGAGTCCATTTTTCCTCTGCACATGTAGGTCCCTGACCTTTCACGCGTTGAACCCTACCAGCAGAGATCTCCGCGGGATCAAGCTTTAGTCAAATTGTGAAGGTAACTTCTTTATCTCTCCTGCTAAATCTTTGTTTCTTCAGACCTGCAAATTGTCATGAGTAATTTTTTTGGATCTTGGGTTAGCTTCATGATCATCCATCTCACCTGCGAATATACTCGTACCTGTTGAAACTAAACCATTGTTTGCGCTGCAGTGAACTGGCAGCTCACTCCCAGCAACACACTAGGTATTTGACAGATTTGTACGTCTTAATTATCTCTGTGATCTATCGCAGTTATGTAAGAAAAAGAAGATGTGATATAAAAAGAAAAAAATCAAGTAATACCACAAGAGACTAAATGACCTCCCTTTTGTGTAATTTACCTGCAGCGTAAGGAGATTAAAAAAAGAAAAGGGACTTAAAGAGTTTCAGGAGATTCTTCTTGTATTGCCTAACTGATGCTATTTTTTTCCTTTTCCGCCCAACAGTTAGCCACAAAGCGCACCTCTCTACTTACTGCTTTTACTTTAATTATTATTTCACATTATTAAATATAAAGTTAAGACTCTGCCATCCTTCCTCACGGTTTTGAATCTATTACCATATCACATATATTTCTTTCCCTCTTACAAGGGGCAGTCATAATGTTTCGAAAAGGGGTAAAACTCCCACAAGCAGGATAACTGTATACGACCTTTCATATGGGTTTACATATTGAGAGGAAAAAGTTTGATAAAACTTAGAGACAAACAGTAAAAAATCGATTTCTCACCGCACAGGACCTCAGTCGTTTTATTCTATAACTTTTCACAACGGAAACGCACCTATCTTACCCTTCTCCTTCTGCATAAAACTGCAATAAACACACACATTCTCATCAAAAACCGCCTGAATTTCCTGAAAGATGGACCTTTTGACGTTGAGCGTCTGTCGAAAAGTTCAAGCCATCAACCCGACTGCTCTATTTTGACGGTGAAGCTCCTAAACCGCATATCTCGACATCGTTGTTTCAAAATTTCTTCACCTGTTTTATTTTTTGATAAAGGAATGAGCATCAAATGTTAAAACTTTCTCAGAATATTTTCCTCGATCAAAAAATACAGGAAAACAAAAAAATCACCGAGGTTTTTCAGGGACGAAGTTAAATCGCATCTCATAAAAAAAAATATGGCGAGGATCCGCTGCAACGTCGCAAATCGAGAAACGTAGTTTGAAAGTCTTAACGTCGATTTGCTTCAGATGCACTGAAAAAAAATCTCGGTGTATTTACTAAAAAAAGGTTTAAATTACCAAGAATTCAGGGCTCTATGTGATCCCAGTTTTTTCTTGGTAAAATTACCATTTATGGAATTGGTAATTTTACCGAGAAATCTCGGCAAAATTATTGAATTTTCTCGGTAATTTTACTGGACCTTGGTAAAAACGCCAATATTTTTTATCGATTGTGGTAGAATTACCGAGATGAAATGGCAAAGTTACCGGGAATTGATTGCCAATAAAAGTGGTATTCTTACTTGAAAAAAACAGTAAAAATACCGGTTTTTAGGTAAGCTAACCAGCCTGTCTTGGTAAAATTACCAATAATTGGTAAAAAGAGTGAGATGGTAAAGGTACCAACGGCCTTTGGTAAAAACGCCGAGAATTTTTTTTCAGTGTGCAGAATCAGGCTGTAGGTTATGGAGATGATCTCCGAACACGTGTGCTATACCTAAAACTTGAACACAACGTCCACTCCGAAAAAAAGGTCAAAAACTTCAGGTTGGCTCACTGACTCACAAGGCAGACACTAATCATTCATTTTTGAGACCGATCAATAAGGTAGAATGACATCTGATGACTTCATAAGAACGACGAGGATCGAAGAACTTCAACTTAAATTTTTTGTTCATTGGTCTCCTATGTTTCCCTCTTTTTCATTCGTATGCTTTATCGCATTTTTTAAGTATATGGACCATTCGATCATTCGATGACGGCCTTGGCACTTTTCATTTGCCTATTTCCGTTCATTATTTTTTCCACTAAACTAATTTGCATAATGCAAGAGGTAGACTCGCTACTATATTTTTGTTTAAATTGATCATTATCAGTTGCAGTTTCAAATTATTTTTTTATCAATCGGTTTTTTCTTTTCAGTTTTTCTCTTTTGAAAAATATCGTCCTTTAACTTATTTATTTTGGATCTAATTTTTATGCCTTGTCCATCCTCATAACGCCACAATCTGATTATCGAATTTCATACAAAAATGGATAATTTTAAAATTAATTCACTGTTTATATTCAAAGTTTTGTAAGAAAAGTGGCACTAAGTGCTCGAGATTCGAGCTCTCCATAAGTGTATCATTGTAGATGAGATTTTAATGAGCACTCGTATTAGAATCCACTCTGCTTTAGAGGATGCATTGCCTATACGTTCACCTCAGAGTCAAACCTTCTTTGAAAATGAAGATGGACCATCCACTCAGAATATACGAGAATCCTAATACTGTGACTATTTTTTTAAACACAGGAGTTCATCTTGATGAATTAATGCGCCTGCAGTGAAACTAAGTAGACTTGATCACAAAAAATGAGTGTTTTTATTGAAGAAATATTAATTTTAATAGCATTTAATAATAAACGACTCTAATTACTACAAGTTTGGCATGGTTGGATTGAATTTTTTCAAAACTCCTCAATGCCTCACATAACACTATTACAAATGCCATACGCACACGCAGATTAATGCAAGGAGACTCGCTTTATAGTTTGAGGTTCAATGATTATTAGTCGATTGCTCCTGATCCACCGTCATGAATCAAATCTATTTCATCACAAACTCATGCATACTATTCATGGTTAAGGATGAAAATATTTAACTCTTGTGACCTGACCCCAGTTCAAACAGTCTTTTTCACAAAAATAACGGATCAAAAAATAAAAGGCCCCGGAACCTCGAGTCCCTACTCTGCCGTGCTAAGGAATGAACACCGTATGAACCTTTTGACGTTGCCAAGTTTCCATCGATAAAAACCGAAATTACTGGGAAATTTTTGAATAATTTAATTCTGAAATGTTCAGAAATCTAAGGCGGATCCAGCAATGCGGCAACACCGGTTTCCTCCATTTAAATCAATGCTAAATAATCGATTCTTGTCGGAGCACCTGGCCCCTCCAAAAATCGATACATTTCCATAGGTTTAAGTGGAGGAAAGACAGTGTTGAAAATTTTCTGGATCCACCGATGACAATTTCGTACGCACTTTAATCTAAAATATCTGAAAATTTCAACAACAAAAAAAATGTGCATGAATGTCGTCAAAAATACATGTTTTATCAAGGGAGATTTGGGAACTTCCCAATTTTCATACAGCGTTCTTCCTGCGTGTGTATTGCACTGATGAACCGAGGTGACACGAATGATTCCTACGATTTCACCTTAGAGCGCCTTCAAACACGCTGAATACTTCAAGCTTTACTGTAACGTTAGTTTAGTTGCTTAACCCAACTGCACCTAATCTTCACTACGATCGGTATCCTTTTTTCCATTCTCCTTCCTTTCATATTCATATTTCCTCGTTCGCGGAGTTTTGAGCTGTGAGAATGGAGGGTTACAGCCAGTAATCTCTCCCTTCAATGCGGTGCTGATGGATGTTGAAAATCTGAATCTGGTCAATGAATGTGGAGAGAAACAAACTCCGGTTGCGGGAAAATCCGCGGCGTAGAAAACGCAGTTGAAATTCCCCTATTTTACGTGATATGAAATGGGAGGGTTATTATCGCTAATGAATGGGTCATAATGACTGGTGCGCCGCTGATGAAAACTTTAAATATTTAATTGATAGAGAGCGCTAATGGATCCATTACTTCTGTATGCGGATGTGTCTATGCGTCAAAGGGAGGGAAAGGGATGCAGGTAGAGACAAAATATTTTATGGCCCCCACAGCCCACATTGCGTTCTTCCCTACAGTGTAAAAGTTACCTCCAGAGGTCGAATTCGGAACATTCGCCGAATAATGACTGATGACCAATGTGTTGAATAATTGGTTTGGCTATCTTAACCTAATTTGCAAGAACTCGCCTAGCAAATTGCACACCCCGACATCCACAAGTCATTCGGCAAATTGTATTTGAGTTTATGCTCAACTATAGATACTTATGAATCATCATCGAGCATAGAGATGACTTTCTACCTTAACTTTTACTTCCCCCGATATCATTTGGCACTTGGAGCAAGAAGTAGAGTTGACTTCCTACCTTAACTTTTACTTCCCCCTATGTCATTTGGCAGTTGGCACTGCATAGATTGTTGGAATGGGGTTTCTAAAAGATAATATAGTCTTTCGATGCAGGTTCATTTTTTAATATAATTTTATTAGGGTGAAGGGGTTGGATGACAATAGCTTGAGGTTAAATGAAGTTCTCAATTTTAATTCCATTGTGCAATCCCCTACGAATATTTCTGGAGAACACTCTCACAAATGATGAATATCATAACTAAACTACGTAATCTTAAAGGAAAAACCCAGCTCTATCATATGATGCAATATTTACGCATTCCCTACGCCCCTATTACACCATGTTTTCAACTCCAATTTCACTAATCCACACTGAAAAAAAATCTCGGTGTATTTACTAAGAAAATGGGAAAATTACCAATAATTCAGGGTTCTATTTGACACCAGTTTTTTCTTGGTAAAATTACCATTTATGGAATTGGTAATTTTACCGAGAAATCTCGGTAAAATTATTGAACTTTCTCTGTAATTTTACTGGACCATGGTAAAAACGTCAATATTTGTTATCGACTGTGGTAGAATTACCGAGATAAAATGGCAAAGTTACCGGGAATTTATTCCCAATAAAAGGGGTATTCTTACCTGAAAAAAAAACAATAAAAATACTGGTTTTTAGGTAAGCTCACCAGTCTGTCTTTGTAAAATTACCAATAATTGGTAAAAAAAAGTGAGTTGGTAAAAGTGCCAACGGACCGTGGTAAAAACGCCGAGAATTTTTTTTCAGTGCAAATTCCAAAATTCAAAAAGATGTTCCAGAATTTTCAGTTTCATTGTATTACAAAC